CGCCTCCGCGGAGCAGCGGCAGCAGCAGCGGAGGGAGCACCGAGGACATCCCCTGCGCCGTCCCACCCAAGGAGCTGGTGGGAAGCGTCCGACAGAAGATTTTCCTGGATTACAGCACCTACATGGCCCGGCTGGTGCCAGCACAGGGGGTGGGCAGCCCGGACCGGAGCCCCTCTCGCGGAGCACCAGGCAGCCCCACGCCCGCAAAGGTGAGCGGGACAAATCCAGCCCTGGGAGCAGGACACGAGCGCTGAGCGAGGCTGATGGACCCTGCGTGCTGCCTCTTCCAGTCCCGTGGGTCCTCTCCTCCCTCCCAGCACCACGGTTTGAGCTCGTGGCCTCTGTCCCTCCGCAGCTCGGCGAGGACGGGGCCGGGCGCAGCGAGGCATGCGTGGCCTGGATGAACGCGCTGGTGGGGCGCGTCTTCTGGGACTTCCTCCGGGAGCCGTACTGGGCCGAGCAGGTGTCCAGCAAGATCCAGAAGAAGCTGAGCAAGATCAAGGTGAGAGGCAGGAGCATCACATCACCCATGAGAACCCCGTCCTGTCCCCACGGCGGGTGCCAGGCTGTAGTGACCGTCCCCACGTGGTTTCCCTCCATCAGCTCCCGTATTTCATGAACGAGCTGGCGCTGACGGAGCTGGACATGGGCTCATCCATCCCCTCGGTCCTCAGCGCCTCCAACCCCACCATCAACGACCGAGGTAAGAGCCCCGCAGAGCGGCAGGGACCCCAGCACTGGCTCTGTGGCAGCTGTTAGCGAGGTGCCAGCCCGGTCCCCGAAGCGGGGAGCTTTCAGCAGGCACACGAGCGGTGCTGACGGGGGGCTCGTCCCGTCCCTCTCCCCGGCAGGGCTCTGGGTGGACATGGAGGTCACCTACAGCGGCTCATTGCAGATGACGCTCGAGACGAAGATGAACCTCTGCAAGCTGGGGAAGGAGAGCGCTGCAGAGGAGAGCAGCCCAGCAGAGCCAGGCGGAGAGGGGTAAGGAGACTGCACAGCTGGGTTTCATCCTCCTCCTCCTCCCCGAGCGAGGCAAGAGGGTGCTGGCCCCAGGGCACCCCACTGATGCTCCCCGGGGCTCGCAGGGCCAGGCCACGGCTGATCCTGCTGGCAGACAGCGACGCGGAGTCG